TGAGCTAGCGGCTTTTAAGTCAAATCTAAAAACCCACCTTTTGAGAAGGCCTTTGGTGCTTAACCTGTTCCAGTCTTGCCCCATCTTTTAACTCGTTGTTTTACACTGTTTGTATCCTGATATGGAGTTTTTTTTTTACTCCTTCTGTTTTTAAAATCTGTGTTTTATTCTGTTTAGGTTTTATTGTTTTAGTAGTGTTTTCCATTAGCATACACATGTTCTGCTTTGAAGCACTATGTGCTCCTTTGGAGTTGTAAAGTGCTATATAAATAATAATAATAATAATAGTTTATTATTATTATTATAAACCTAATAAAATTTTATGGCGATAGCAGGAAGTCAGCCAGCTTAGCCAGAGAGGTACAGTAATGTAAATACTCTAGGTTTAAAAAAATGGGCAAGCCCAAGGGAGCCAGATAAATGCTGCAGAAAGAATGGGGTGCCATGTTGGTCTCCAGTTCAATTAATGCGTCCATTAGTAGAATAAACAAAGAAGTGAAGCACCAGTATATTCATGGACACACTGTTTGACTAAGATTAAGCTTTAGCAAGGGAGTAAGACTTCTATGTACAGCACACCAAAGCAAGTATCATCAAAGTGCTGGTTTGGCAGCCGCTGTGGAGGAAGCCAGCCAAAAGGTTCTAAACCTGACACAATCACACAAGCAGGTGTTACAGACATGTCTCCTCTTTCAGCAGCATCATGTCAGTTGATTCTGCCTAACTCTTGTGTAACCAGGCTACATTACTATGAGAAAGTTATTTTTGCAGCAGTGGAACACGAACACGCAAAACCCAAGGAACACACCAGTTAGGATTGTCATACTTTCAGACAACCCAGCATCCATCTGCCTGGCAAATGTACTGCCACTGTGCTCATCATGCTATGGCAAGACAAACTATGCTTGGTTATATTTATGGCTGGGGTGGGGAGAGGGTTATGGGGCCCAGGCACAAGTAACTAATTACAACAATAGTTGTATTTTAAGTGTGGAAACATGAAAGAGGTGTGTGGAAACTGGTTCGTTAATTTCATAAAGTTTCCTCAGGCCAGACTCATTAAAATAAATTTGAACTAGTTAAAATGACTAACTACACTGCAAACCAGAGTCTATAGGTCAAGTAATAACTAATAGATGTTGAACAACAGTTACTTTTACTGCAATACAGATAAGAGAGAAGATTTCAGAGGAGATGGGCTGTATGACCATTGAACCAACTGATGCAGAATGAGGGGGATTTTCTGTGCTTGTCCAGCCACCGAGAGACATGAACAAGGAAATGTGATGCAACCAATCGCAGTTGTTGTCTGCATCACCATGACGTGTAATTACATTTCTGAGGGTGCACGCATCAGAGGGACCTGCAGCTGAAATTTAACATCAGGAAACAGCAGTTTAAAATTTGTGACCCTACTGTCAACATGACAACTGTTAGTCATGTGAGATCTCGTCAGAGTTAAGAACATGTTTTAGGAAGTAGAGGATGTTTGTAAATTGCATCGCTTGCAACAAGACAATGTGAGAGACTTGTAAAGACTTTCAGGCCACGTTTTGCTTCAGTTACAGTCTCTTCACTGTGTTCTACACTCTCCCTTGGTCCACACACGTGATACAGGCACCAGGTTCTTGTAAGTGGCCATGTATTCAGATTAACACTTCTGTGGCTGTGCTCTTCTACATCATCAGGGTTTTTAAATATGCTGCTAAACTGAAAAATTGTGGTGCCACAATATTTTTCACATCAGACAGTAATTTGCAACAGGTTTAGTAAATATCCCTCATCGACAGAAAGACTGACGCATACAGTTCACAGTACATACATTCACACACTTGCATCCTGTCTGAATTGCTTAGGATGGATTGTCTTAAAGGTCCACAGGCAGAGTCACTTAGTCCAAAAACAAAACCCAAGCACTCACCACTAATCCCAGTTTACATTGGCTGAAATTTCTGAATCACTCTTCAACTGTCTTTTGTAACTCATAAAGGTCCCTATAACCTCTGACATCAGACTGCTTAGCTGTGGTGGCTATAGTGTCTCAGTGTCTGAAGAAAGACTTACTGTAAACTGTTCTTACTGGAGTATTCTGATAACTCTGAGATAACTGTCCTCATTGCATAGGCTGGTGGAATAAACCACATTCTGCATTGTTTTTATGTCCAAATTTCCAAAATACAGACAATTCTAAAGCTCACACACAACAAAAATATTAAAACTAGTTCTTGCAATACAAAAGTCTATGCATTGGCCCAATGTAGGGTGTCTCGCAACCCACTGAAATCACTGTGCCTGGCTGTTGTTAGCCTAGCAATAGTGGCAGCATGAAATTCCCCCTAAACCACAGATTGTTATTTTGCTGGTTTACAGTCAAAACAAATAAGACGCAAGTTGTTAATCAGTGAGCTTTAAAGGTGTTTGTAGGTGTATTTTGAACTTACAGAGTCAGACCAGTCCTGCACCCCATCGAATGGTTAAATTATGCTAGGCTAATCATCACTTTACTGCAGCTCTATACTGGAGCACCTGCGTGCTACACACAGACACAAGAGCGGTATCAATCTTCTCATCTACTGTAACTTTCAGAAGCAAAGCAAATGAGTGTTTTTCATGAAATCTGTATTTAATTGACTAGACAAACAACCGCTGCTGTGATTTTCAAGTAATGACTGTCAGATGTCCAGATTGTATTGTTTTTTAATGGTTTTTTAAATAATTTTTCTTCATTAGTTATTCCAACATTCCCTACTACTGCTCTACACAGTTTTCAGAAAAGTAACATAACAAAAGCCATACTGCTACCATAGCAATTGCCAAAATATGATATTAAGGAATAAATAAATGCAAATACTGCAAGTCTAACTATGTGTAGAGGCTTTGTTGAGGATATCTTGTTTGTGTGTGTGTGTGTGTGATGCAAGTGCGTGTGTGTTTACATGTGCAACAACATTCTTCCACTGATTGCAGCTGCTGCCCACCCCAACACACCACCCAGGACCACACAGCTCTCCCCATGTCAGACAGTAACTAATTAGGATGTAGTTTTGAGTCTGTGTGTGCGTTTGTGATGTCATTAAATGCCAAACTGGTGATGTAGGAGAGGGGACATCACTTATTTCAGAAAGGGATTTGCCCCTAACACCAACACCAACACACACACACACATCCACACCCTGCTGAGTGTGTATAGGGCACCTCCGGACCCCTGGGAGACCACCCCCTCTGTCTACAGCTCAGTCTAATGCCCAATTAACCTTTACTAGCTCCTGCCTGGGTCATACACACACATATGTAGGCACAGATCGCATTCACACACTTGGGTGGATGCATGAACACCTGGTAACAGACATACAGTAGATCTCATATACAGTACAAATGCAAAGAATACTATATAGGCACACACAGCCTGGAACATGGAGAGAATCATTTAAGAATGCTCTTCATAGACTATAGCTCAGCATTTAACACAATCATCCTGAACATATTAACTAACAAACTGTCAGTGTTAGGTCTCTCAACTGATATCTATGCTCAAGTCAAGGACTTCTTCACATATTGTACATGGACTGTCATGATTGGTCACCACCTTTGTTCTACCCTCACACTCAGTACCGGCTCCCCTCAAGGTTGTATACTGAGTGTAGTACTATATTCAGTATATACGTATGAATGTACTCCAACCCATCCTGCATCATTAAATTCATGGACAACACTACTGTGGTCGAACTCAGGAGGAGTCAGACTAGTTAGCTTATAGAGATGAAGTCCATAAACCCAGAGTGTGGTGTTCTGCAAATCATGTGACACTGTACACCAAGAAAACAAGGAAATTATTATGGACTTCAGGAAGCACAATGCAGACCCTCCCCCCACTACTCACAAATGGGGACTGTGATGAGAAAGGTCCACATATTTAAATTCCTTGGCACCTTCATCTCTGACAACTTCTTGTGGATTGCTAACACACAGCTGTGGTCAAAAAGGCACAGCAGCGTATGCACTTTCTGAGAACACAAAAAAAATTATCTAGCTGCCCGCCTCCCTCCCTGGAAGACGTAGCCAATAACTGCTACCTCTCCAGAGCACCAACATTTTAGAAGATTGTTCACACCTTGGTCATTATCTGTTTCACCTACTGCCCTCTGGATGGCACCTCAGGCCCCTTTTTGTTCAAACTCAAAAACTAAAATCATTATACAAGCAGTATACAGTATAAGACACGTATTATGTTGTAATGTATGGTTATTTATCTGTGTATTATCACATATTTATTTATTTGTTTGTTTGATTGGATGGTTGGTTTTCTGTATGTTAATGACGAGGATGTAAAACAGCATTAGTCAAAGGACTGTGATATTTCAGCTCAATTACTTTTACCTGGCTAGTGGTGTAACCTGCTAATCAATGGTGCTTTGCATGGAGGTTAATACCACCTATGTACATACAGTAAAGCAAATTAAAATATATATATATATACATGGAGAGTTGTATAAATGTAAAAATATGTTAAAGAAATATTTAGTCATTTTTCAGGTACTTATAAATTGTATTAAAATAATTTGCTTCTGTTTTCATTTCCATTTTTAATTTATGTAATTACTTTTAATTACAGCATTTATTTATATATTATATTTTATTTAGTAATTTGTGCTCTTCATACATATCCATACTGTAAATACCTCAGAAGTCAAAGTTTTTTTTTAATAAATTGTTTTCATCCTTAGAATTTCAGTGACAAGGAAAATTTTCCAGTAGCACTGGTCTAGTGGCTCATGATGGACTGATCCCTTACCAACATTTAAGTGGTTTTTCCTTTAATTTGTCACCTACTGATGTTTTCATTATTTTGTCCACCCCATTTGTATCAGTGAGGGCACAACTTAATAAGTGTTATGGCATTATTACATTGCATTAGGCTGTCTGGCAGAAATGCAGCTTTCAGTTATCAGTGGTTTTTACAGGACATGATTTGAGAAAAGATCCATAAGAAATTGTTTTACCATGTTGGATCGCAGGGAGACTCGCCCCCCACAGCGGGCGCAGAACTTAGTCTGGCAATACGAGCACAGGTTTCCACAGCCATCTGCGAACTTGGTCTTGTGGCAGATGCCACAAGTTGGAGCATCGTCCCGGTGAACAGCCGAGCCTGCCGCAGCCGTGGCCTGCCGAATTACTGTCTCCCTGTAGCTGGACAACTGCTGCTGGATGCCTCTGGAAAAAAGAAAACAGGATGAAAACACAAAGGCTTTTGCATCTGTGAAGGTTGATGATGTTACAAATCAGTGTGTAATGACAAAGATATGTGGTGGAAACATACAAGCTGCATCTAAAGTGCTTGCTGGAACTGAATCACCCCCACTTTCAGAACTGAATTGCATCCAGCAATTTTTATAATTCTGTGAAACCAACAAATCAAAGGAATGCTACATGAAGCTCCATCTAGAGGGGGAAACTGAGCAGGCCAGGGCTGACCTGGCCAGACTGGCCATCATCACAAAACAGAGGGAGGAAGCTGCCAAGAAGAGAGAACAACTCAGGAGAGAAAAGGAAGCTAAAGAAGCCAAAGCAAAGCACTAGTCCTCCATCCGAAAGATTCTTCATGCACTTCAGTCTTAGAGAGATGGTGAAAGAAGGAGATCTGGAAGAGAGCATGGAGAGGGACCAAGACAAGTGGCGTCAGATCAGGGATGCTGCTGGGCTCCTGTTCCTCATTTTATGGGCATGGGTCTTCCACCACAGCGTGGTCATGACAGGGAAACTGGGTGGAGCAAAGTGAGATGAAGAGGAGTGCAACCTTTGGGATGCCTCTAGTTGTCATGTAAATACCTCTGCAGGAGACATCTGCAGGTTTTCCAAGTCCTTCATTGCCTCTTTACTCTACCCCACCCACCACGGATTTAATTCCAAAGCCGCTAAAGTTACTTCCATCCCTTGTGATTCTTGCATTTTACAAAGATTGAACGAGGAAATGCAATGCAGTCAATCACAGTTGTTGTTGTCTGCATCGCTACAATGTGCAGTTACATTTCTGGAGACGTGCACATCAGGCTAAGGGGCAGGGTCCAAAGCTATACATTACCTATGCCGTAGGTACAGTGTAGAATTAACACGGAACCATAAATCAAGCTTGACTGGTGCCGCCAGAATGGATGAAGTCTGGGGATCAAGAAAGTCATTGCAGTTCCTTGTCTGGAGACCTTTTGTAACAAATTTCATGACAGTCTGTCTAATAAACATTTCACCTAAAACCACAAATGTCAACCTCACTGTGATGCTAAAGGTAAAGTTGGAGATCACCAAAGTTATTGGGATTCATCCTCTACCAACCATGGAAATTTGTAGAAAATGTTACTGTAATCAGTATAAGCAATATAAAGACAAAATGAAATGAACATGTCTGGCATGAGTTTTTAACTTTTGTTAAAAATAAGAAAATAAACCATGAGTTCATCATTTTCAAGATTGTGAATGATTAAATATTACTCAAGGGTAGTACGATACAATAAAAACTAGACAGGAATTGCAATAATTTTATTACAGAAAAAAATAAATAAAAGGCAGAAGTGAACTGAAATCATAAAGTGAATCATCACATTAAGTCTAGTCAATATTACTGTTGTCCGTACTGCTTGGGTGTTTTGGTATAAGCACATTTTTGTGTTTGCTGCTGTTTCAAGCTGCTTTGTAAACACACAAAACCTTTTAAGTCAATATGAGAAAGAAAGGGGAACAGTACTGATTTTATCCAAAGCATTACAGAATGTTGATTAATTACTTTTCACACTGAGGAAAAAGCAAAAAGATGAGGAACAGACCAAAGAGGGAAAGAACTGATGGGCTGAGAACCATAAGAGGAGGAGATACATTCTATACTGTGTATTTTTAGTTTGTGATGTCAGAGTAGTTATCTTAACTTTCACTAGAGCAGGCAGATCAGTTGAAATCACTGATTTACAGCAGGGCTTGAGGATGGTCGGCCAGAGAACAAACTCAGATCCCATACATAACTTACTCTGTGCATGTTTGCATATCTATACAAAAAATAACCAGCAACATTGCAGTGATAAACATCCACTACAGTGTAAAGAAGAAGGAAAGGAGACAGGAAAAAGTAGATTACTTGACATTACTACCTAACTATAATAAGAGATAACATGATCCACTATTACTGTACAAACCCAGGGAGCATTAGGGCTTCGAATTGGCATAAAAACTCCAACCAAACTAAATTGTACATAATCACAAAGAAAACTACCTAACTTATTGGACTGTTATGACCAAAACAATGCAACAAAAATTTTATTTGACACTACTTGGTCGGGAGACGCACCCCATATCTCATCATAGCTGATAAAAATAAAACACTGATTTTGTTGTTTCAGACTCAGCCTGATCACCTCTCAAAAGAGATTAAATTTCCTTACATGTTGGAAGAAAGCAGCAAAGGTTATTTTGATTCCAAAATATGCACGTTTGCCACAGATCTATTTTGTGTTAGTGTATATTGTGTTCTGCAAAACTGTTTTGTTTACAGTATTGCCACCACAAAATTATTTTTCTCTTCTGTTTCCTTGTAATAATTGAATTGTATATTATTTAGCTTTGGCAATAATATAATAATGTATTCATTCTAGTAAAGAGTAAGAGTAAAAATGAAGTGATGTTACAAGAGGAGGGGAGAGAGTGTGAAAATGGAAGAGAGGAGAAGAGACAAGAGGAAACAAGAAGGGGAGAGTTTCATTAGCGTTTGTAGATGACAGATGACAACCCTGTGGCAAAGTTAAACTTCTCCTTTAACATTTTTTCTCTTACCAAGTCATCAATAGAAAATAATATATGAAATACAAAAGAGTTTGAAACTAACAATGGAAAAGGCATTTAAATGTAACAAATACTTCTGAATTCCATATCTCAAATACCAAACACTGAAGACTGATTCACTTTTCAAAACTTACTGCTGAAAATTATAAAAATAAAATAAAAATTAGAAAGAAATTCACATACTGGATTAAAAGATGAAAATGAGCTTTGACCTTCTCACAGTATGCCTCTGCTCAGTCTGCAAGTAACCTGCTATGATATTAATAGCACTGTATATAATGTTTGCAGCCCTGCGATGGACCAGCGACCTGTCCAGGGTGTACAGGTCACCAGCTGGCTGGAGCCAAAGATTGGCTCCAGCCCCCCTGCGACCCCATTCGGGAATTAGGAAGTATAGAAAATGAGATGAGATGAGATAATTTGTTTGCTGTGGCTGCAGTACAGTACTTACACACTAGCAGTCAGTGATGCAGCCTCCTCCTCCATCAGCTCAGCCATTAAAAACTACAAATCCCAGCAGTGGAGGGCAGAGAAAAGGAAGTACAACATCCAGTCATTTCATAGAGGCTACAACACTGCTCCTTTTGGTGTAATAGGACTCTTCCTCTAAATACACCATCAAGAAAACCCTTTAGAGGACTCAGTGGCTGCAGCACAGCCTGCCCCTGGAAATGTTGACACCTCCCAACAGAAACATACACAAACACACGTCACCCCATCTCTTCGCTTGTAATCTCTGCAAAAAAATCGCATTGACATATATACATTTGCACTACTCATGTAAACCCACCACTGATGGCATTAAGTAGACACACACACACACTTCCTGGAAACAATAGCCAAAGGTCACAGAGAGATCACCTGCTGCTGCAGCACTGCAGGATTTGCTTCCTGAGCCATGGTTCTCACTGTGTTTGTCCCAAATTGTGGCTCCATTCACAGCCTAACCAAAATAAAATATAGTCTGGATATACATGTACTGTATAGAACCATAATGATTGATAATGTTTATTGTAGAGCTGATCAATAATACACTGGTTGTCAATGGCAAGTCTTTAAAGTCAGTTTAGTCTGATTCAACATGAACAGGAGGAGCAATTTTTGGTTTTATTGTGATTATAGGCATTTTATTTGTTTATCAGAACCATTATTGTAGATGATAGGTGGCTCAAATCCAAAATAGCCTTTATGGGTATTAGGCTTAATAAATTCATATTGGCTGGATGTACTGTAACTACTCAGTATTAAATGGATAGAGGGACTTGGTGCATTGCCTCATTCTTACGACGTCTCTTTTACCTCTTCTTACTGTCATTCTCTCACAGGGTTCACCAGGTTCTTTGATTATTTTATAACTTCTGTTTCTGCTTTTGTTTATGACTTTTTTTTTTCATTTTCCAGTTCCATTCCCTTTCACATCATTTTATTTTATCTTACTTATCAGAATGATTTCAATTTGTTCATGTTAATGATGAATCTTCCACACAGACTGAAGTTAGTCACAACGTTCCACAGGGCTCTGTGTTAGGTCCAATTCGCTTCACTTTATACATGCTCCCTTTAGGCAATATTATCAGGAAGCACAGCAGAAATTTCCATTGCTATGCAGATGATACACAGTTATATTTGTCTATGAAGCCAAATGAATCAGATCAGCTGGTCAAAAGTGAAGCATGTCTTAAAGACATAAGGGCCTGGATGACCTGTAACTTCTTACTTCTAAACTCTGACAAAACTGAAGTCATTGTGCTTGGGCCTGAAAATGTTAGAAATCTACCGTCTAATCATATAGTTACTTTAGCTGACATAGCTCTCGCCTCCAGTACTACTGTGAGGAACCTTGGAGTCATTTTTTGACCAGGATATGTCCTTTAAATCACACATAAACCAAGTCTCTAGAACTGCCTTCTTTCACCTGCGCAATATTGCGAAAATCAGGAGCATCCTGTCTCAAAGTGATGCTGAAAAACTGGTCCATGCATTTGTTACTTCCAGGCTGGACTACTGTAACTCTTTACTATCAGGATGTCACAATAATTCCCTAAAAAGCCTCCAGTTAATCCAAAATGCTGCAGCCAGAGTACTGACAGGAACTAGCAAGAGAGAAACCAATCAGAATAGGACAAAATGCAAGTATTCCTAGGGACAATCATTAATCATTCAAAAGATTAAACATAATACTTTCTTTTTTAATAAAACTCATAGTTAGGGCTAGCTCAGGTGACCCTGAGCCTTGCCTTAGTTATGCTGCTATAGGCCTAGGCTGCTGGGGGTCCCATGGTGCTCCGAGTTTCTCTCCTCTCCTCTTTCTCCATGCATCTATATGGCAGCATTACTTGCCATTAACTTTGTGTCTCCTCTCTCCCATAGTGTCCTCTCTCTCTCCCTGT